TTCCGGCTTTATTTTGCAGGCAATTAAGGCAAGATTTTCAGAAGTGTTGAATAAGTAGTGTAAATTATCAAAACTACAATTATAAGAATATTCTGAATCGAATTGTACAAGTAAATATTTAATGAGAGAATAAACTGGGATAGTAACGCAAGTAAGTTCTCAGACCTAAAAGCTCATTATATTAAGTTGACTGAAAAATATGCAGACACGACTTCGTAGTTTCACTTTTGGTACACAGGTAACCTGTGTTGGTTACCCACAGAACTAGTCAATCTGGATATTGGTATTTATATATCATAAGGATGCGGCTGTCAATCATTATTACAACAATTATATTCTTCCTTAAGTTGCATTCGCAGACGTCGCAACCACTGCGGGATCCGCAGCAACTGTGGAAGAGAGCAGCGAGTATTTGTAATGTGGGTTTATTTTTAGTCACTTCTGTATTGCGCGCTATCGTTTTATTATATAATTCACAGTTGAATATTTTCTCTTTATTTTATGATAAAAATGTAATTAACTTTCGTGTCAATATTTGCGACGCTGTCATTCAACGCTCCCGACCGCTGCCTGTGCAGACAAGTGCGGGGTTTATATCGATGTTTCGCCACTGTGGAGGTACGAAGGTGCGTGTATCCAGCAACCGCCAAGTTATTTGTGTCTCGGTTATTACTTAACGATTCAGTGATATTGTCAGAAGTGATAATTACCACACGAACGTGATGACGCACAGAGTAGAGAGTCTCCAACCATTTTCCGAGGTTTCTCATATATTAGGTCAAGTAAAAAGTTCGTTCGGTTTTTATCTAAGAGATGGCGTTATTGTCCATAGTACTAGTGTTACGTGTCGCATCATATCATACTATACGGCGCTGAAAACGTGTTTATTCGCGCTAAAAGTTTGTCTTTGACAGTTTTTCGATTGCTTTACTCAGTTCGTTGTGAGCGCTCGTCAAAGATGGACACCAACAAAGAGAAAATTCGCTATATTTTACAATTTTTCTTCGTTCAAAGCGAAAAAGCAGCCAAAGCGACTGAAAACATTAATTTAGTTTATGGGCCCGATACTGTAAACGCACGTGTAGCACAAAAGTGATTTGCTAGGTTCCGTTCCGGTAATTTCGATGCCAAAAATGCACCACGCGTCGGGAGGCCTGTCGTCGAAAATTGCGATAACATCATGGAAATAGTGGAAACAGACCGTCACGTGAGCATTTTCACAAGCCTCTCTTGAGGCCAACTTCCCACCATTAAGCGCGTTCGCCATGGACAGGAAAAGATGGTAATCACTTGGTGCCAGGTTCGGACTATAAGGTGGATGCATTAGAACCTCCCATTCGAGCTCCAGGAGTTTCGGGCGAGTCACCAAAGACGTGTGTGGCCTGGCGTTGTCCTGATGGAACACAATTCGGCCTCTGTTGATCAAAGATGGCCTCTAGTAAATGATTTCTTGCGAATGCTACCAAACACGCAGCAAAACCTTCGTGGCCGTCAATCTGGTCTTGGCCACCATCTGCGCCGCTTCCCCGAGCTTTGACCACGACCGTTTGCGCTCGATGTTGCCATAAGTGACCCATTTTTCATCGGAAAAATCGGATGGAAATTCGGTCCATCATGTTTTTAATTCGTGTGACACCCAAACATCGAGCTCCTTTTTGAATCCAAGGTTATGCAAATGGTTTCAAACGGTTTTCTGGCTTATCTTTAGTTCCTCAGTAATTAAATAAATGCTTGTGTTTGAATATTCTGGTGCATTTTGAAATTCGGAAAGCTTTTCTGCTGTAGTTTAAGAAAAATTATTAGAGCTTTCACCATTTTTATGCTTATGCTTTAGATGGAGTTTTTTATGAATGGGTATATTTTAAGCAATGGCAATATTAATTGTCCAATTAGTACCAAAGTGAGGGGCATGAAAAATACAATGCCCATTACCACAAATTGAGCAAACTCTGAAAAAATCCAAACAGTTGTAAAATAAATGAACAACACGGATATATAGGTATGTGTGTATTTTCTATGCATCACAAAATGGGCAATTCTTGACGCATTTGCGGTTAAGCAACAAATTTTGGCCTTAATATGCACACTCATTTGCAGAATCTCTGTCTTTTTAGGAAAGTAACTTCAGCTGCAAATTGGAGCAGTTTTCCATACAACTCAATTTACTTATGAATTCGTACCAATTTAAACTCGAAGAAATTTGTGTGAAAAGTTTATTGTTAAAACTTTATGTATGTACAGTTTTAAAAAGTTCAGAAATAGGTATAATTTAATTTAATAAAACAATTTTCAAGTATTTTAAGAGGATATGTTGAAATCATTTCCGTTTTCATTATTTCAGAGGTTAGAAGAAAACCAAGCGCGATTTATGTGAAACATGCCTTTCTTTGCTGTAAATCTATATTTCATTTAGTACACTTTTCAGAATTAAACATGTAAGGAAGCGCTAAGTTCGGGTGTAACCGAACATTTCATACTCTTCAAACTTGCCAAGATCAAAGCTATGGAAATACGTTCAGGTGCATAAGGTTTGTTAGAACAACGAAAATCAATATATAATCCTGGTGGATGTGGATGTGGGTGACCTTTTAGAGGGCGGGGCCACGCCTATTTTTTTTTTAATTTTTGGCTCATAGGTGCCTCTTGCTACTGTGATCCCCTGTGCCAAATTACAGTTTTACGAATTTATCTTTATTTAGTGCTTAGTTACAGCAATTTATAGGTTTTGTGGGCGTAGCAGTGATTCGATTACGCCCATCTACGAACTCGTCCTATATTTATATTTGATTGTAAAATTTATTTTTTCTAATTTATTGAAATTTAGCTGTTCAAAAAGTTGGCAATACTCCTTAAAATATTAAATATAATATATGTATATAGTTTTGATGCACATGCTATAATATTTTATTAATGTTGTCAATTCAATTGAATATATATAAATTTCTTAAACATATTAGGTTTGATACGAATAGTATTATAAGTAAGATATCATATCATATTTTACTAAATTAAATTGAATTTAAAAGAGGCGGTAACCTTTTCAAAAACATTTTGACAAAAATATTTTGTAAACCTGTTTAGTTGAACACCGATATTGTAATATGCTACTAACCTAATAAATTTAAATAAATTGAAAAGTGTACACAGGTAGAAACTATTATTAAAATAGTTCAACTACGATTTAATGATATTTGAATGACAGCTATAGTAGTTCGATAAGAACAATTTGTTCACAGATTGTAGCATTGCCGCACACAATAATCTATGTCATATTTCATGAAAATATGTTGCCAAATAAAAAAGTTTCCCTACAAGAACTACAAGATTTTGATCGGTCAATAGTAAAGATGGTATAGTGGTTCCGTATCGGCGGACTTGTCTAAATCGACTCAACACGTCTTGTTGATAAATTATGTATCTACATACATATATACTCTTTAAGGTATCCGACGTTTCCTTCCGGGAAGTACAAACTTCGTCGCAAATATCATATACCCAGTTCAGGGTATCAAAATTAAATTTCATTCTCTATCCTTAGCTTTAGTATGATGATGCACTTTTATTGCGATCTAGAGGTGCAACGCAATTCCAGTACGGTTAATCGATTTTAATACCAGGCCTAACTAATTTTCTTCATAAAAATTCCATAACACCAAATTTGGGTTCTCCATAAAAAAAACCCCACTATTTTCGATTTTTTTTTTCGAAGTTTAATTTCGCTTTGATTATATCGCCTTATTTAGCAATTTACAAAAAATACACAAGCTTTTCTATTCCAATATAAATACAATATTTTATCGAAATATACATATTATATAAATATGTGCATTTAATCTTCATTATTGCGCATAAATTGCGTATTTTAAATAACCTTGCAATTTTTTATTAAAAACTACTTACTGACTGGTTACATTGAGGATATCTTTAATTCGATTTTATTTTCAAAAAAATTGACAGTTGCTCTTTCACCGTACTTTCTTTTTCTTCTTCTTTCCTGTGCGCAAAAAAACATATTTCACACCTCTACTCTCTATTAGTTTTCGCTTTGATGTGATCTCAAAAGCAGCACTATACAAGTATGCATGCATGTGCAAGAGCTGTTTTATTTTATAGTTTTATTAAACTGTTACACTAAATCAACATTAATTTACACCGACATTAATCAACCAAACCGCACGAAATCACAATGCAAACACTTCGAATCCGGCAACAGCACATAGCGACAGACACTTACTGATCATTTCAGCAAATTGATTTTATTACACATTAAATTATGCACTTTTTCACAACAATTGTGCTAAACCCTTGTACTGCAACACCGTTTCCACGAATTTCAACTTTTTAACGAATATTTTACACGATTTCCAACGTTTTTCTGTTTTTAAAACTGCGCGTCCCTGCAAATCCGTTCTTGCGCATTTTCACTTACTTAATGATGACATAGCGTTGATTGTTAACGTTGCAAGTCGATAAATTGAACGAATGGCCATGAAGAGTGGTTCTTGAATTGGCTAAAATATTATTGTGACGATGTTACGAGACACTTACGTGTGTCAATGTTGATACAGGATTCTAATGTAACGAAATTAATTAACAAATGAAAGAAATAAAAATTTGTAGCTATTATTGAGCGTATATTATTATTATATTATAGATAATAGTTTAATAGCTGGTGTACAGAAAATTAAATTAAAATGCATAATAAGTGGTTGAAAATTAGTAAAAATATTATTTGATAAAAATGAATGAGTTAACTAACTACTATTACTTAAAAAAATTTGCAATTTTATTGTGAAAAATTTTATTTTACATATCCGCCTCCGTTCAATCATTTTTGGCAAAGGTTCTACTCACCGCTAGTATTCTACAGGGTGACACTTTAGTTTTGATCAGGGTGGCTGTGCTAATTAATTAATTCAGCGTTGCATTAAATCTGAGATACAAAAGAGAGCCAATATGTTTACTTGTACTCTTCAAGTGGCTAATTAATTATTTGTCTGCGCTCAGTACATACCACAACAACGCGTAGTGCCGTCATTCTTGACCGGCACACATAAATACTCCAACAAGTCAGCGAAAATTCAGTCAACAATTGTTAATGTCATTAATTCGACGTAAAATAGTGAACGCAACAAATTTGGTTGCCCTGTGGAATCTCTTCAGCAGACGTGGAAACAATTGCAAATTCAGTAAGTAAATAAACAAATGTGAAAAAACTGATAGTTACGAAATAATAATATCTGCGAATAACTAAAGCCTTAGTGATCAGTGTGTATATTGCTGGAAATATCAACCGAAAAATAAAACTCAATTGTTGTCAAAAACCAACAAATGACTTGAAGAGTTTTTGTGGTGAGCACCTCTATTAGGAGTGAATTGTGAAATTGTGATACATATACATGTACATATGTACATTGGCGATCAACAATTAAAACAAAGAAAGTATGCGCCATTTTCGGTGTAGGCAGATGTTGTCAATAATGTTTTGAGTTCACATTGCAAAAGTTTTCTTTTAGCTCATTAAAATTTTAAGGAAGTGCAAATTTATAGTATTTCGTTGAAAAAATATTTCACAAAACTATTATTACTTTTTTTACTGCAAGATTGTATGGTATATTTAAATTATTTTTGCACATTTCACAATGTGTTGTTATTCTGAAACCCCCCTTATTGCAGTCACCTTTCCGTGAATGATATATAGTTACCAACAAAGTTCTAACTAACAACACTAATAACATTTAAAGTCGTTAAAAATTAATTAACTTATACGTTCATGAGATGGTTGAACAATTGTCTTTAAGAATATACTATAGTGTAAGTAACCAATACGGCTGTTCAAAGAAGAGTAACATTAGTCACAAGGTTTACAGTTAAATTTAATTTTAAACATATATTTTCAGTTTTTTTGAACCCCAAACAGGGCATATTAAATTTGCCAAGCATTTTGTAATGCCCAGAATAATACGCCGGAGACCTTTTAAAAAATAAATGATTAGCGAGTTGAGCCGATTTAGCCATGTCTGTCTGTCTGTCTGTATATACTCGAATCTGTCACTCAATTTCTGAGACATAAAATATAGCTGCCATGCAAACTGACCTATCAAAATCAACTGATTAAATGGAAAACTTTTTTAGCTGAAGAGATATCTTTAAGAAATTTGGGATGGATTATTGCCTTAGGCAATGATGCAATATCCGCAGTAATTTCTCAGATCGGAGTTGAAAGGGTTTTAAGTTAACGTTTTGTCTTTTTTTTCGTACACTTCGTCGGTTTTGCCAAAAAACGTTATATGAAACAATCATAAAGAAGCAAAGAACCTTCCGTAACTATGATCGATAACTATAATCGATAAAGTCCACTAATTAATAACAGCTTTGGAATCTTTGAAAAGTATTTATTGAAACAACATATACTCATACATAAAATTGGAGTCATAAATAGATGTACTTATGTATGTATATTTATAACTCCATAGAAATCCTCTAGAAATACTTACAATGAACGATTGACTTGCTTTTATTGAAAGTAAGTGCATGTCTTTAATATTGTTTTTATCATAGGAAACATATATTTGAACGAAAACTAATAATTTTATAAATTGTTAATCTTATCTTTTTTTGGCTGAATATTTATAACCATTGAATGAAATCTTGACAGCACTTTAATTATAGAAATCGCCATCCCAAAATTCGATAAAAAATACTAAGCAAAAAATTGTTTTTTGTATAAATTGATATATTGATATTATGTAGATGGAAAATCAAAAACGAATGAAAATCATATTAGAAAACATTTTTGGATAACCGTAGTCGACTCCAGCAAGAAATATAAATCTAAAAAATACTCTAGCGGTGTAACTAGTGTTTCGAAGTTACACTTCTAGCCAACTTGAATATATTAAGCGATTACATATATATATACATTTTCAGTATGTTCCCAAGTCAGAAACAACGTTTTTTTTTATTCTTTTTTAGGATTCTTTCTATTTAATAGATAAATAAAAAAACGATATACATTTAAAGAATTTAATTGAAACTTTTTAACTTAACTTTTATAATCGTCCTTTTAAAAATTTTGAATTTCGTTTTTCCTATAACCGATCTCCAGGAACTTCGAAATAAGGTTTCTCTCGGTAAGGAAGAATTTTCCGATTTGGATTCGATTAGTGAATATACCTTTTTATTAAATTAAAAAATATTTTACAAATACATTCGAAATATTTTAAAAATCTTTACTGCATGCATTCAGTAGCTTTACAACTTTGCCACATGCCCTACAAAGTAGACGGCCTCCCTGTTTCGTATCGCAAACACAAATGGATGATCCGCCTTGAACACCTTCTGATCCAAGTTCAGGCTCATTGGCACGATTTTCATAACTGCAATAGAAATGAATTTATTATTAAAAATCATTAGATAAAATCAGCAGAGCAAAACAAAATACTCACATGTGGCCGCAGCCGCTTCGGAGCCAGCCTCATTCACATCGAGGAATGCCTTGTGTTTGACTTCATCGACTTTTTGTTGTGGGCTTGCCGCGAAAAGGCTGCTAAAATCAGCCGACCAGCTGAACATGTCTACCATGCCCAACTGTAAATTAAATATACAGAATTATTATTCAAATTTATAATACAAAGTATTATTTATTTATATATTATTGCTACTAACCTGCTGCAGCGGTTGCTTCAGATCCACTTCAAATTCAATGCGAAACTTTGGCAAAAATATATCAACACTTGTGCTACGCATACGCTCGACAATCAAATTCAGATCAGCATTCGCCAATTTCTGCTCCAACGCCGCTAAACCCTCAACTTTATTAGGCAAAAGCACCAGCATTGACAAATCTGAATTCTTGTATGGCAATTCAATAGCTTTCGCATCCAAATCCGCTAAGTCGCCATATTTCACACGCTCATCGCCGTACATCATAGACACCGACGACGTTTGTCCATCGCTCATCCGGAACTCATGATCCGAAGTTGAGAACGCACTGAAGGGATGCAGCCACTTGGCTTTAAAGTAAATCGCATTCACCAAGATCGCGCTGGTATCGTCATTCACAGCATCTGGTTGTAGTAAATTCGTGATTTTGCCCTCAGTTTCTTTCTCAACCCACGTATTAATCGTTTGTACGGCGGTAGACGCGTCGGCGAATTTCGTTGGCACCGCTTCGGACTCGAAACTAGTTTTGGCAAGTTCATTGAACTTTGCTGACAATTCCAGCAACTCACTAACATACACACGATTGGCCATGCGCAACTTTGGTGCATCCTCTGCTGCGTTCGTGGCTTTATGGAAATTCTTTTGCAGAAAACCAGCATAATCAGCCGCAATGCTTACTTTATCCAACGCCGTCGGCAAACGTAAACCGCTACGCAGTTGTTGTGCCGTTTCACCTTCAGCGCCGAGGAAGGCCAACGCCAAGCAACTCTGTATGGACGCTGGTGAAAAGACGACATTTTCCTGTGAACGCGTCTGTGCTAACGCTTGGAAAATATCCGCTGCGAAGAGATTGCGACTGGCGCCTAACGATGGTGCGATTGTGCCGGCTGTTGCCATATTGATTAAGATTGCAGCGATGAGTATTTGTATGACTAGAAAACAGGTTGCAGAAAATAAGAGATTTCATTTGAAAATACATAAACGTCTTCGTTCTCTTTGCAGTAATATTAAGCGCATTCGCAACTAAATTTTAAAGAACTACGATTCTTTTTTTGAATACCAAATATTTTTCTAGTAAAACATTTCGGTAGTCAATTGAAAAATCTGTTGTATACTTTAAATTAATTATTATGGAACCTTTCTTCACTTTTGTATTGTTTATATTATGTCATACCTATTTCTGTTCTTCATTTTGTCTAACTGTACGTATTTAGAATCTATAATTTTCGTCAGAAATTAGCACAAGCACTCATTAATTCCAATGGGCTAGTTAAAAAAATGTGCCGATAAGACATGACGCATGTCTACACTCCCATATTTGGACGCACTGAATTACATGAGGAACAAAAGATATACATATACCGTACATATGTATGTACAATACATATATATTTTTTCAAATTTAATTTATTAACTGATTTGGAACTAATCGTCATTAATAGCTTTGATAAAATTTATATTATGCAGCATTAAAGTTATTATATCCTGAACATCGGAGGCGCTGTAACATATATATGACGAGCCGAGTCGATTAGGCATGTCCGTCTGTATATACGGCAACTAGCCCCTCAGTTTTTGAGATATCGATCTAAAATTTTGCACATGTTATTTTCTCCCCAAGAAGCTGCTCATTTATCAGAACTGCCGATATCGGACCACTATATCATATAGCTTCCATACAAACTGAACGATCCAAATCCAGTCTTTCTATGGAGAACTTTTTTATTTGACGAAATATCTTCACCAAATTTTGGCAAAGGTTATTGTCTAAGACAGTGATGTAATCTTCGAAGAATTTGTTTAGATCGAATAACTATAGCATATAGCTACCATATAAACTTAACGAACAAAATTAAGATAAAGGTATTTCCCCTCATGCTATGAAAAATGCACCTATGAAGGGTATTATAGCTTCGCTGCAGCCAAAGCTAACACTTTTTCCTGTTTTTATGAATTTTTGTTACGCTTGTGGTGTACTTGTATGAATAATACACAATTATCGAAAAACGATAACAGCCAATGTGATTCACTAGCCTTTTTGTTTACGTTGGCATTAAAATTGAGATTAGCTAAGACTTTGAGTGTTTTTTATAGTTTTAGGAAATTATGAGAATTGAATATTAACAAAGCTTGGAATATATCATTTAACACAGCACTTATTTTAACATAAATGGCGCTGTCGCAATATTGTGATTAGAAATTTGTTGAACCACAAATTTTGACTCCAGCAGCTAGATGCGTACCACAAAGGAGAGTTAGTTATGTTATAAAAAATAGCCAATTGAACAGTAAAAAATATATTAAAATGTCCAAAATAATTATCTGCGATATATCCAGGCACAAAACAACGGTGAGTTAACTTTTAAATTTGATTCGACTTTTCTTTAACCTAAAAAAGTTTTTGCAAGTGAATTAAAGTAGAAACAAAATAAACACGCCAGCGATTTAAAACAAATAAAACGCATAGATAGGGATTTCTGCTTCAAAGTCACTTAAATTCCGCAACCCGTCAAAATTCAATTTCAAAATATATTTTTCACACTCAACACTCAAAAGCGGCCTTTCGTGTACGTGTCCCGAAACTTGTATGCGCACTCAAAATAATTTTGAAAACTACACATTGCTAATTTTTGGCAGAAATTTAACTTATTCGCCTTAAAATGTTTATTTGTTTAAAAGAAAGCTATACAAACAAATTCATACACCGTAATGACGTCATCTTTGGTGTTCGAGCTGCGTTGAAAGATTTCTTTTCTAATATTTCACACAAAATTTTCAATTGATTACTTCACTTTTTCAATGCTCTAGTGAAACTATATTTCAACAAATTTATATAAATGTAACTATGAATGCGAATCAGTGCATAGAAAAACCAATAAAAAATATTTGTTATTATACACAGATACTTGTATGTATAACGAAGTAAACAAATAAACGGGAAAACCGCGATTTAAAGACGAGTGTTGTGTGGGCTTTGTTGTTGTTATTTTTTTATTTATTAGCACTTTTTCACACGCTATGGCTGTCTCGTTCATTCTGGATTTAAGTCAGTGTATCTTGCTGACAGAAAGTGGGGTCATTCAAACATCAGTGACAGATTGTTTATAAACAACAACGAATTCCAAGAATAAACAAACACACAAAATTTGAAAAAAAAAATACTTATTTGTAATAACCGCGAACAACAAAAATTCAAAGCTCTCTTTATTATTACACGTATTTTAAATATACATATAATTTGTGTTACAAAATTAGCACGTTTTTGCAACCAATTCGAGACTTACACTCCACAAGCTTACCACAGTACTAAACGCCGTAATGTCCACAAGTATCCACTACACACTTGAAAGCGATAGCAGATAAGTGATAAATGAGTAATCAGTAAAGTGTTTATTTTTATTGCACATTCTTTGGTACAGATAAAGAGAACCAATATAGAGAGAAAATTGAGCGCATGTCAATATTACAGTCAGTGCCAATATTACGTATACAAATAATCTGAATTAAAATAATACATGTAGGGTGTGTCAGCTTCTAGAAGAACAACTGTAAAACCAGCTGTCAAAATGAAAGCATGTGTTTCACATTTATATATATTTTTATATTCAATATAATTTGGAACTGTCAATTGGCCACTTAAGTCGTTTAATTTGATTAAGAAAGATATTTTGTGGAAATTTTTATCAACATTTTTAACGGTAACATTGCATGGCAGCTATACGTTACAGTTTTCCGAGCTGAACAATTGATTTGATGATTGTAGCATAGCCGTGGACAGTAACACATACCAATTTCAAAATATCATGTCAAGAAAAAAAATTTAATTTAAGGAATTTGATTTGATTTGGATCGGTCAGTTTATATGACAGTTATATGCTAAAGTAGTGCAACATCGGTTATCGATTTTGACAAATTAACAACTTCTTAGGAAGAAGAAGGACGAGTGCAAAATCTCAAAACGATATCTCAAAAGCTAAAGGACTAATTCAAGTATATACAGACGGATGGCTAAATCGGTCATCATCAATTATATATACATATGTAAGTGTATACTTTATAGGGTCTTCGACGTTTCTTTTTGGGTGTTAAAAATTTCATAGCGACTTGACTTGACTGAACCCTGTTCAGCGTATAAATATTCGAACTTTGTATAGTCTTGGGACAAAAGCTTTCATAAAATAATGACACTCGTGTACAAATTGTAAACAAAGCAGCTGTTTGCTTTGTTCCATTGTGCCAGCATTGTACCCGCGATACAAAAATTAACTGTAACTGTAACTGATTATGTAAGAAAATGTTTACATTTACTTACAAAGATATAGATTGCGTTTGATTAAAATTTAATGTAATATATATGGCCGACAAATTAAAGCAAAAAATTTATTAAGTCATGTATTAGAGATGTATAAGAAGTTTTACGAGGGCAATAGATGCAGTATATACGTACATATATACATATTTACCACGGCAAGATAACAACGTCTGATAATATTATTTCTTTATAATTAGTTAGTACTTATTACTCCACTAAATTTAAAATGGATTTATAATTGGTGAGTTACTCAAGTTATTCCGACACAAATGGAAAATATTTAACTTGGCAAGAATGATAGAAATCCAGACTACCAGAGTTTTGTGCTGCCATTTTTTTAAGAGAACGTTTGACAGATAAGAACATTGGTTCGTGACGTCATAAACGAAATTAGGCGAAAGTTTTGTTTACAATTCGTATGAAAATATTGTCTTGAAGAAGATACTGTCATAAATAAGAGAATGGCAATGCATAAGGAACTTGAAGGTATGAAACTTGTTCACAGTACATAAACACATATGTCTATAGTATGTTTTTATGTAGTGTAATATGTACAATATATAGTGAAGTGCCTTGTCACATTACCAACCAGAAGGTTGAAAACATTTTAGCGAATGAACTGGCCTCGAATTTATTATAACAGGTAAAAGTCACACAAGGAAATAATAAAAATTAGTAATGCAACAGCAACAATCGGACTTCCTAAATTAAAGGAAAGGAAAATTTAGAGAAACTCCTTCGACTGCTATGCAAAACAACATTAAGCTAATATATTCAATCAGCTGGCGTTTAACCTTAAACAACCAAAAACTTAAAACTTAAAAAATTCCAATGAATCATGTCTCACAATACTACTCGAAATTTTTTTTAGCCGACTTGAAATATTATAATTGTTAGCAACAACAACAATAGTATGTAAACAATTGCCCGGTCTTTTTCCTTACGTGTTTTTGCGCTCTTCTATTATCGCTCTTTGTGCAGCATGAGTACGAAAGAGAAAATATTATGAAATAGCGGGTGATGAAATAAGTTTTTTGTGGGTCTTTATTTTATGGCAGTAATGAAAAAATTTTAAAAAAATATAATAAAATGGAATGGTTAACGAGATGCCATATCATAATACAAAATTATACTCGCCAGCTGGGAGATGTCCAAAGCACTTTTGTGATAAAAAAATAAATCTCAAAAACCGGCTTATATACCTTTAAGGCGATTTGAAAGTCTATTACTACATAATATAGGGGGCTTTACAACAATAATAATATATAAGACGTCTTTGAGTTCCCTCTTTTTGATATTTGAAGTTTAGACTTTGTTGCATTTAATGGATAAAAACTGGTTGATTTACCTCATACCTGTTACATATTTGTTTATTTGTATGAAAATATTCATTGGAAAACACCTTCAGTTTTTTCAATATCTATTTGCGTAGATCAAACCGTCATAATATTTAACATATGTAAATACGTATATAGTTATTCCGCACCTTTTTGTAGTTAGTAAGCGTTTACTTTTGAATAACTAGCGACAGTAAAATGTATGTACATATGTATTTATGTACAATTATTTGGAATTAACAAAAATTATAGAGAACACTACAAACTGTGTACTTAAAACCAGTTATTACTCAAGGTAAAATACTTAAGTTAAATATTTAATATATTATATAATATAAAATATAAAAAATATTATATAATATAAAATATATACTTCTAATATTTATATAATACTTAAATTTATTATTATTTTTTTAGATTTTTAGCAATATAAAATTATTATGCTTTTTTATTATTTCTCTAAATACATTTTTATATATTATATTGTACATATACATATGTATATATTTTTTTTATTAATTTTAATAGCTTTTTTTATCAGAAAAATGTGTTTATAAATTTGCAATCTTTAATTTTTGTTAATCTATTTATAATGTTTTTAAAAATGTCATAACTATTTAAGCTATCACTTGATTTATAACTCCATTCAAGACACATTGATTAACATTTTATTTTTGGTATATTTTCGAATACGCTGATAAGTGCAAGCGTGTACAATTACATTTCCGATTCAGTCTCGTTTTGTACACACGTCGTTTCGGTTGTAGTTTTGTTCGAACTTAAAGCGAATCAAATAGAAGAAAGTGCAATATAATGAATATAAATAGTTTTTTAAAAATTTTGTGTTAAATATTTAAGCAATTTATTTTAGTAAGAAGAAAATTGTACATCCAGCTCTTAATTAGCCCAAAAATTTATTAAAATAGTTTTGTGCAAAACAGCAACAAAAATTATTTTGTGCAAATAAATACAAGACAATATTAAATACTAAATAAAAAATAAGTAATCTATAAATATGTGGTGTTGATTGTGTAGTGTTAGTATAGCAATACATTAGGACAAATACATAAATATAAAAATATATAGAACAGAAATCATCACAAGCGCAGATAAAATACAAAATGTTATCACCAGTGAATTTTGTGCGCGGTAAGTTTCAGATTACTTGTCGAACCGACATATAAAATATATTCCTTGCTCAATATGACACGTACTATATACATATTATACTTATATACATATAGATGTACAAGCGATATATGCATAGTTATGTGTGTATTAAGACTGATTTAATCGAAGTTTGCGCCCTTTTCAACATAAACGCCAAACAAAATGTTCAAAATATTAAGAATAAATGTAAACGAGAAAGTCATATGTCACATTTTTAAAGTAATTATGCTTTAAATCATTATTATATTTGCGTAAAATTAGTTCTTTGATAATATCCTGGGTATATTAACTATTTTTAATATATAAAATCTAAGCACTACCATTTAGTTCTCGGATTTGCTTATGGCAAAACGAAATGTCAAACTGAAAACACACAGAAAGAAACGTTAACTTGGTTACACCGAAGCTTTAATGTCCTTCATAGGTATATTTCTTATAAAATAAAAGCGTATAAAAAGATCTTTATCTTGATTTTGATCACATAAAACAGTTTTACATACAAGGACTTGATTTTGATCGGTCAGTTTGTATTACTATATGCTATAGTGGTCCGATCTGAAAAATTTGTAGCCTTAGTTTTGGCAATAATCCCTGCCAAATTACGTGAACATTTCCTACCATACAAGGACTTGATTTTTACATGACAGCTATATGCTAACCCGGTCCGATAATGGTTCCCACAGATGAGCGACTTCTTGGGGACGTGTGTAAAATTTAGTATATAGTTTGCGTATATATTGTACAGACGGAAATGGTGTTCTTCTCAGTGTTACAAAATTCATGACATACTTAATATGCCATGCTCAGGGTATAAAAAACGTATTTGCTAATGAAAAGTAAGACTCGGGAAGTTGTTTTTCTCGGCAATTGCAACTTCTACTCTAGTATATTTAAGTCGCTGATTGTGTGACTAATTTGGAACAAATTTGTTGTGGGTTCACAAATCGTCGAGGCAATATCTAAGATTATATACAAACTATCAGCTGTTGGAAGATGGCAATTAATAATTGTTTAAGATTTTTAAAAGTCAGCAATAAATATCTTTATTACCTCCGCTCTAATCAATATCCTTGAATCCATTGAAGCGCCAGCTGATCTTATCAGATCTGTATATGTAATGTACATACGATGTATATAGGTATGGGTCGAAAAAAAAATGTACATCAACAGTTTTTTGAAACCGACGTCAAATGCACTAACTCTACAAGCCGGAACAAAAATATCCTTGATCAGATCCAAGCAAATATTTTCCTTGGCTCTGCTTTGTTTTTTTTTTGTTAACTGAAATTATGGGCCATAGGAACGATCCATTAACTGAAAGAATAATTTGGTCAGATTTTTACTCCAATATTTGATTAAAGAAATCGCACTGAAAAGAACTGCAACTTCTAAAGCTTGTTTAGCATTTGATTGGGATATATTAATGGGGTTTGGAGGCACGTTAGCGTTGCGCTCATTCCGAATGCGGCAAAAAATCGCAAATTGCGGCCAAGGGCTTAAGTCCCATCAGTCTCACCTCTTTCCTATTGAAATCGTTATAGAGACTGTGGGTAGTTTTTGTAGAAATTGACTTTCAAGGGCACAGGATGCCTATTGAACACCTTATATATCGATGTTAACTGTAGACTCTGGAATTCCCGAACACTTTGATTTCATTCCAAAATACTTGGATTACCAAGACGACGAGTCTAGCTCTGAATGTACAGTATTTTCTCTGCTCATACACGAAGATTGTCAGAAGAGAAGTGCGCTGAGCCATTTTTTGGATGGATCAAAGCTTGGGAGGGTTGATGTAGGAGTATTATGTCGGTTACCATCTATCAACTACAGTTTTAGGCTTCCTGAACACAGCAGCGCCTTCCAAGCGAAGGTGACGGCCATAAAAGTAGCAGTAGATCAACTGCTCCTTAACGCAGCCTCCTTCAGAGTGATGACTATCCATTCCGATAGTAGGGCGGCGATATAGCCTTGAGCTCGATAACTGTGCGCTTGAGAGTAGTAAAGGGATGTCTAAACTCCTTATCTCTAACACCGAGTAACTACATGATTGGACTGGTTTGGGTTCCTGGACACAGCGGTATAACAGTAAGTTATAAGGCTGATAAGATTTCTAAGTAAGGTACTTCCGTTTCACTAGCTTTTGAATGGGAACGGGTAGGAGCCTCGTTAATTTCTTATGATTTACTACTGGGTGATTGAGATGCAGGTCAGCTCAGCAAGCATCACTTGGGTTGTTCTCTGACAAATTGAGATTAGGTTAAACCACATAGTTAAATTACCAACATTTAATGCTTTCGCTTATAGATTTTACATATATTTCAGAATAACATTGAAACAAGTACTTATGGTTCTATTTCCTCTTCTAATTTCAGATACCTTCCTTACATTCGTTCTACTACTCTCCGTATACACAACAACTGCAAGCATGTCGAATCACGATCAAATTGGAACACAACGTGAGTTCGCCAGCAAATCGGCACAATTTGCCGTAAAACTCTTCAATCACATGCACAAGAAAGAGCCCAACAGGAATATTATATACTCACCTTTCTCGATACAAACATGTGTGGGCATGGCACGAATTGGCGCAGTCGGTGAAACTGCTGCGGAACTCGACCGCGGTCTGGGTTTACCATCGAACGATGTCACGGCGATCGCTGACACTTTTCACAATGTATTGGCCACCTATAAGGATAGTCCGATTTTGAAGATCGCCAATAAGATTTACGTGATGCAAGGCTACAGCATCAAGAAGGAGTTTAATGAAATTGCCACAACCAAATTCTTCTCCTCAGCCGATAGCATTAATTTCGCTGACAGCGCTAAAGCGGCAACTACAATTAACAAGTGGGTAGAATCCAAAACAAACAATCTAATCAAGAATCTCATTGCACCGGATGCGGTGGATTCTGACACACGCGTAGTATTGGTCAATGCCATACACTTTAAGGGCGAATGGAAATACCAATTCCCGAAATCGGCAACACATGATGATGATTTCTACCTAAATGAAGTCGACTCAGTGCGTGTACCAATGATGAATTTGAAGGAAAGCTTCGGCTATGGTGTTATATCCGAATTGGACGCCACTGTACTCGAAATGCCCTACAAGGATTCCGATCTATCGATGGTGGTGATATTGCCGAACTCACGCACAGGGTTGGGTAGTCTGCAAGAGAAGCTAAAGAATTTCAATCTCAGTGACATCACACGTCATTTGATGACCACGAAAGTCATTGTGAAATTGCCCAAATTCAAGGCGGAATACGATATCGAATTGAATGATGCTTTGATAAATGTAAATAGTTGCTGTTTTTTTTGTTTTTTAAGTTAAATTTTATACTAACTTTTGTTACATTGAAACACCTCTTACACACCATATACCTATGGCATTCTCCACAGCTTGGCATGGCACGCATGTTCAGCAGAAACGCTGAATTCGGTAACATGCTCGATTCGGACGTGCCATTGCAGGTCTCGAAAGTCGTGCACAAAGCCTTCATTGAAGTGAACGAAGAAGGCACTGAGGCCGCGGCAGCTACTGGTAAGCATTACATTTTTTTCTCGAGTTGGTCCACATATATATATGTTCACTTCACACATCTTTATTTGTCTATGCTCGTTTCTAATATCGTATTCTATATCTTAATAGCATATGTTTATCTTTAGTTAACAACACAAACATACATAACATGCATATCTGCAAGCGCATTACTTATTTATCTGCGAGTATGTGCGTTTCTGTTTTCTCATTAGGCGCCGTTATACGTAAAAAACGTTGTGCCATGTCCTTTTTCGAAATACCAGAATTTCATGCCGATCATCCATTCTTATATACGATCAAACATAACAGTTCCGGAGAAATAGCTACAGCAATTTCACTATTTTTGGGTACAGTGAGGAGCCTGGATGCTGTAATTGCATCCGAAAATCATGATGAATTGTAAAATACAATATTCAGTAGGCTTGTTGTTGTAGCAGTATCTCATATGCATATTTAAAAAATTATATATTGTTATTTAATTGTTTAAACCTACATAAAGTGGAACAAATAAAAATAAAAGTGCTAAACATACATAATTAAAAATTAATTACAATATACCATATGTAAAGGAAGTGGTGGTCTGGTACTATGTATATTTACATACAGATATAATTAGTGTACTTGCAAACATGACGCAGACTGTAGCTTGAAAATTTTTATATCTTGTACTTACTTTATTCTTTGCTGTAAGCAATTAATTACAATATACTATATGTAAAGGAAGTGGTGGTCTGGTACTATGTATATTTACATACAGATATAATTAGTGTACTTGCTAACATGACGCAGACTGTAGCTTGAAAATTTTCATATCTTGTACTTACTTTATTCTTTGCTGTAAGCCGCCTATCGGTTAAATAATCGGCTAGCCCAGAGAATTCTGTTATATCTTCTATGGGCCCAATTGACAATTCTAACCGAAACTCTTGTGTACGTGTAATTGTTCATCCCATCCTTACGCAAAGGCCTTATGAAATGCATGTTCAGTTTCCGGGCTAAGACGTGACTTGCTGGGATGACATACCGCTGGAGAAAATTCAAAGTAAATGACTATCAAAGTTGCATGAGTAATCATTCTTACAACATTTGCGATAAATTTATTCAAACTAGCAGCAAGAGTCTTTGGACGCGCGTTAAAATCAGCCCAAGTTAGGGCAGAATAAATGCAACATTTTTTTGAGAAAAGAAAACGCTAGCTAGAATTTTCCATGGACTTCTGCTTCTAGTTTTCACTCTTAGTAGCATTTGTTTATACCTAAAACCATTCGCAGCATCTTCGAGACTTTCTAACTAATTTAAATAAGTATTTCTATTATTTTAACCGCTCTATATTAGCACACAGTATTTTAATTAAAAAGTCTAAATATTTGCTGTCACAACGAAAACAGCTGATTTTTGTCATTTCAAAGTACAGAGTGTTCAAAGTAGTATGCATAATTTTATCTTTTGTATTTATATAAAATCGCCAAAGCGCACTAAAGATATAAAAATTATATAGAAAATGGCAAAATAAAATCTGAAAATATAATATTTAGCACAAATTAAAATTTTCTAAAAATTAAAATATTTAAAACAATTTCCGCAGTTGAAAATTATAAAGTTTCATCGAACTACTAAATAGTTAAGAATTTATTTAGATATGCATTTTTTACTCTATTATTACTTTATTACTCAAGATAAATCTTAAACTTTTCTTTCTTAACCATTAGAATACTTTTAACTTGCTTTAAAGCTCTGCTATCCAAAATGGTTCACTAAAAAGTGAAGAAAAATATTTTAAATCGAAAACGGTTATTTCTGTTAATAGTCACAACAAGATCCTGTCAATTTAGCTGTAAAAAAATTTAACGAACTATCGGTAGTTCAAAGAAATTTAAAATATATTTTTACCTGAGGTCTTTTTATTACGTTTAGAGCCTAACTTCCAGAAATATTTTTATTTCGCTCAAAGCCTAACCTTTAAAGTTTTCCTCTAAAAGTTCACCGAGCTTTTTAAAAAACAAACAATGTATTTTATCAAGCATTTTAAAAAATCGAAAAACTTTAGGAGAAATTTTAACTGATTACGGCGTTCTTTTGCCATACACTTACAAAACAAGGAATATTTATTTTCACTCTCATTCAACTCATTAATTTTATTCCTTCAAGGATTTTCATATTCATTTATTTTTATAATTTTTTTCAATTTTTACATATGTATATTATAACTTTAATCACTGTAAATCAATTAAATAATAATAAGGCAGAAAGCAATATTCACCCTTCGCTTGACATACAGTGCCCAATTTTAAAAATTAAAAAATGCATTACGTATTTCTTATTTAGCGATGGTAATGTGCGCCACATCTTTGCGTTTTGTAAAAATGCCCCGTAAGTTTTTCGTCGACAGACCATTTTTCTATGCTGTGGTTAATGCAAACCAAAATCTCTTATTTGCTGGTACCGTTAACAACTTCAGTGACTAGAGTACACCGTATACCATATACTACTAGTCATCAGCTATATAGGGTGTCCCATAGGGTAATTACACGTAAACGCTTTTCGCTCGATGTTGGAGTCATCGGTACACACACTTTGTACCTGATTGGATTGTAGCGCGGAGATGTGACTATGCAGTGGAGAGTACAGGAAACAGATTAATACTAGACATACAAGTAAAAGGTTATGGGGCATATTATATTTGACTAAAATGTGTATTTTTGTTTTTGTTTCGGCATATACTTATAAAATAAAAAAATTAAAAAAAGACAAACAACAAAATTTTTAGTCATCAGTTAAAGAGAAGTTTATTCTGACGTCAATTTTTCTTCGTACTTAGGTTGCCATTTTTTCTTTCTCTGCGCCTCTAAGTTTTAATATTATTTATGAGAGTAATAAAATATCGGAGTCTAAGTCGACCCAAGACGATCGACAGGCCATATCAAACCCCTGAGTATATATTTACGTGCCATAAAAACATTTCTAAACCGATTTCTGTCGGTCAACTAAAAACACGTAAGACCCAGCATTTGTCGGATAAATATAAATTTCACACCACACTCTCTAAAATGCGAAAAGAAGCTAGATCAAATGTCACTTTACTGTTCGGCAGATGAGTTGGAGCAGCATTATATTATAATAGATTTTTTATACCGCACTATCTCAGCTTATCTCTTGAGGTAAGGCGAAGACTGTTGTAACATGTGTTCTTGGAATCATGTTACATTTGTTAACGATATGAAACATTTTTATACCTGAAATGTGAAAAACAAACCTTTATAACTGGTTAATTAGTAAAAAATAACACTACACTTTAAAAGAGATTCTAGTTATTTATTTTCGGTTCAGGCGCTGCACTATACCTAGATCTACATTAAATTTAAGTTACTCTTTACTCTTTAAAAAATCATTTAACGAACTGTCTTCGCAGATAAAAGACATAAGATTTCTTCATATTTTCATAATGCCTCTTCTCTCAGATACTTGTATGTTATTATAGATTTCATGACGGAAACCCGTGATACATTTAATGGTGTCGGTTTAACTTTTTTCCATTTAACTCATCTCATTTCTGCTCAATTGATAGTGGCTTGCATATTGTGTCTGTTCATTGCATCATTCAAGAAATACGAAAGGCTTCTGGCTAACAAAATACCTCTCTCAACGCTGCTCTGCTTTCAGGTATGGGTATTTCAAATTACGCACTCGAAATCGATCAAACACTGTTAACCTATAAAGTAGATCGACCATTTATTTACACGATCAACAATTGCTTAGACAACTTAACTGTTTTTGTTGGAAAGTTAGAAAAACCATAAAATGAAGTGACAAGCAAATGTTCATTTTTTAACTGTGAAATATTGTTAAGGGTTTTATCAAACTCAAACACTTTTGTAACGGACATTATGTAGATATTCTCCACAAATTCACACCCACACAATCCAACAATCATTCATAATCGGTGGAGCAAATATCGCTAATGCATGCATGCAAATATCATTTGGTATATTTTCAGGCATGATTATGGGCAGATCTCTTCCAGCATTATCACCGCCAGTATTCACCGTTGATCACCCATTTATTTTTATCATTTACAGTGATATTGCGGAAATTTCACTTTATACTGGGCAAATAATAAAGCCATAATATTATGACATATTTTTATACAAAAGTTTAAATAAAATAATTTCAGAAAAATTTTGAAAACATAAAAAATTCAAAAAATAATTCAAAAATTATTTTATAATAAGAAAATGTTGTTAAAATTACTATGGGGGAGAATAATATTTACTAATTTTTGTAATTTATAAAAAAAAAAATTTAATTCCCTAAAATGCTGGGTTGTTTCACCAAGTACTATATACAGCTTCCAGCGTTTACCCTATGTCAAACAAGGACTTATTAGTATTACTCAATGGCTCTGAGCGAATTACATTTTTTTTGAGAATTAACCTAGTTTCAGTGCAAGAAGTTCGGAATAGAGATAATGGTAGTCTCAGAATGTGCGCGAATGCGGTATATAAACTTAATGTTCTAATAAGAACGCACAGTTGATCAAATGTGAACTACAAAATACTTTAAAATATTACAAATTGAATGTTTATTAGTTTATCTTTATAAAACATAAACACAATATACGTATTTATGATATATTAAAACCAATTACTACATACCAACATTTGCCTATACTACTATTTACAGCTATGAAGTTACTGTATTGCTCCTTAATCGCCCATCACCAACCACCCAGATTTAAAGTCGATCGTCCGTTTGCCTATTTAATCAGAAGTGATGATCACGGTGTGCCATTGTTTGTTGGAGATTGTAAAAAGCCAGAAAATTGATGATCGTTCCTCAAATGTTTATAAAAGCATTTACTGATTGTATATAATTATATTTGTGAAAAAATAAAAATTCCAAACAACTATTAGAGATAATACGTAGCAATCGGCAATTAATTATTTATCTAGGAAGTTTTTGACAGCTTTTCATTAGTATTCACTTTAGTATTCAAAACCGAATATACCTCTATATTCCAAAGTGAAAATCTGCTTGATATAAGTAGGTGCAGTAATATTGCGTCATTCCGCCTTCATTTTCCATAAATTAGTATAGTCACAGTTGCACCATTTCTTTCCCTTCGCCAAAACAATATCTCGCTTTTGTTGTCTAAACTGACGTTAAATCATATATTTTCCAAAATTTCGCAATATTAATATACTCTTACTATTTTAGTAAAAATGTACTAATAACATTTAAACTTCGACTTAGCGATATCGCAAAGTCTTTAACAAGATTCACGAAAGGCTCGACTAATTTTCTGTTCAATTTGCAAATGATTTTCGAATAATGTAATGGAAGAAGAAGGAAAACGGTAGAAAATAAAGAAAACATTTTTGAAGAGCTTATAATATTTCAGAAGTGCCTAAAAATTCGTGGACCTGTGCTAAATTTGAAGAAAACTGGGGTAAGGTAGATGAAAATGTTGATTTCATACCATTGAACGGTAGTGTTAGTATATGTTACGATCAAAAGGTAGTCAAATCAGGATCAGAAGTTCTTTTTCTGTCTCTCCCTAAATCTATCTGTCTATATAAATTTTTATTTTCCCTCTCCTTTTCGTGAGAAAAAAAGTGATAATAATTATATATAATAAAAAATGTTTTCTCAAAAAAAAATAAAATATAGTGAACACGTAAAATCGTTTATAAAAAATATTTTAATATTATTATTTATAACTTAAATATGTATGGTTTTAAGAAAAGGACTATCTACTCTATTTTTATTATTAAAAGATTAGTTTTCCTTTTATATATCAACTAATATGTGATCATGGCCTTTATAACAATAAAAATATAATTAATTTCTAATTTAGTTTATTAGTGACCGTTGTTTTCGTAAATATTATATTTTCTACTTAACAGCCATCTTATTGGGCTTCACTGGACCAGCACTACCCAAGCTACCACCTCGAAAGTTTATTGTTAACAGACCCTTCGTATTTCTAATAAAAAATAGAGCAAATTTCGTCATTTTTGCTGGACAAAAGCCCAGGCGTTAAGAGTTAAATGCTTTAACCATAATTTTATATTTAATTTTATTTATTATAAAATGGGATATTGGTTTAAATAAAACTAGTTATGGGATATTGGTTTAAATAAAACTAGTTATGTATGCCTTATGAATTAAATTTGGAACTCATTATCAGGCATTTGAGCTGAATTGTCTTTCAGCCGACTTAGCTTTCAGGGCTTGATTGATTTTCTGTAGCGCTCATAGTCATAAGGTTTCAAAATCCTGATATGTAGCTGCGCCCTAAGGGTTAAAAATAAGTGAAAATTAAATTTGTGAGTAAAGCTTTTAATAATATGAAGTGCTAATGTTAAATTGCTTCCTGTATTTTTTTATTTTTACTTTTAATTTAATTTGTTATGTTTTTAGTATTTGCTTATAAAATAATTTTACATAAAAATGTGGAACACAACGGAATATGGTACAGACATTGTTTATGATTTTTTGTTTTAATTTTTTGCTAATAATTTTGTTATTAACTTGCATATTTCTTTCCCACTTAAATCTCATTTTCTAATAATGAATAGATAAATTTTACTAATATTATTTAAAAGTCACCATTTCACTTACAAGTTTGGACAACTACAATACAACTTAGCTAAAAGTGACATTGCGTAAATACTATTTTTTTTCTCAGCTGTTCTCGTTTCGCGCATAACCTCAGTGGGAGCAGGTCCACCGCCGCCCAGGATTTTCATAGCAGACAGACCTTTTGCATATATCATTAAGAATAAGGCCAATTTAATTATGTTTGCTGGACAAAAAACGAAAGCATGATGGAGGACAATTGAACAACCTTATTTATCTATATATGTACATATGTATGTAAACGCTCTAAAAATAAATAAATATTTTTTTTATAATTTTTTGTCATCATATAACTGATTTTATTTATTATACATATAGTATGTACTTGAGTAACTAAATATATAAAAGTATATATGTATGTATACTCGGTATCAAGATTGATAGAAATAGCGATTACGACAGTTTCTTTCCGTTACTTTTTTGGAGTGCCTTTAACAGCAAACTGCATTGACTTGTAACGTCATGAAGAAAAGAAGGAAAACCTTTGTTTACAATTACTGTGAAAGTTTGACGTATATGATCCAATCTTATTTATATCATTTTACTCGATATGTGTGTACGCATGTCTGTTAATGTTATCAGCTTTGCTTCATCTGTCACAGCATGCAAACAAATATTCGTGGAAAAACCACATCGTTACCTAATCATTTGCGACAAAAACATCATAATTGTAAGATATGCATGTGGAAATATATACCATAAAATACTTCCATCCACTTATTTTTGGGGTTCATATTGTCTACTAATGTATTAATAATTCGAAATGTTTGTATTTAACACATTGCAGTTTTGCGAATTTTGCCCGTAAGGAGTTTCAGACGCAAACGCTTCATTGCTGATCGTCCTTTCATGTATTTCCTGCGCTCGCAAAAGTTTGGCACCTTTTTTATGGGTCAGTTTGTGAAGATCTAGTGAACTGAAAGGATGGGGAAGAGGATAATGATAACCGATTATGAAGGCAAATAAGAATATTGATATTTATGTTATGGGGAGGAAATGAAAAGAGAAAATAAAAATGAGCGAATATTTAGAAGCAGGTTGATTAAGGTTTCTTTGTAATATTCATATGTAAATAAAGATGATTAATTTTAATAAAACAATTTCTTAATAAAACAAAATATTCATTTGGATATTCTGGTAAGTAAACGTGTACAAACTTAATGAAGGAATTCACTGAAGTTTAGGATTCGACAGACTTTAGTAGTGACTTTTTAAGAGCTCAGCAAGCAATTGTGGGCTCAGATACCTATGATCAAACGATATCGTCATGAATGAAGACATCAAATGAGTCCAAAGTGTGCTTTTATTCTTCTGATCATTAAAAAAGATAAGCATAAAAAGCGACTAACTTTTATTTCTACCAAAAATTAACATTTTCACGCTGTGCGCCAATAATACGGCACATTAGAGCTTATGACCGTATTGTAATTCTTCAGGTAGGCGATGTAGATTACTGATTAAAGGCCTAAGAGAACGGTGGTCATCACCTTTCTTCGATAAGACAGTTTTTGCATTCTTCGGGGCGTGTTCGGCAGATGAAATTCACTGTTTCGACTCCTTCGGAATCAGTTATTAAGTAGCCTCACGACAGTAGCACCGACAGTTTTTTCATAGTTAATATTTCATGCAGTATATGACACACACGTGGTCATTTGTGACGCCTACTGTATCATCTTCTTCAGCCAATTGCTATTTTCACACTTCTCGAAAATCCTCGGATATGCCCGCTTCCAGAGGTGGTCAAAACAAAAACACGAGCCTTCGTCTGATTTTGACAGCAGTCGTCTACGGGAAAGTACTAAGTATCGAACCGCCCTCCTTTGTCGGAAGAAATATTAAATATTCGAATATGAGGGTGACTTGACCTTATATCATCCCACCAAAAATTTGAAGTGATTAGATTACATTTAATCTATTTCTTAATCTAGACTGTTCTCGCTGCCGTTGCGGATTTATAAAACAGCTGTTTTCGACTAGTCGATCGAAGCTGTGGCATATTTTCCCACCACAACTTTTTTATATCGGCTTCGGCAGCCACACTTCACATTACTTTCTATTTTTTATACTATTTTCTTCCATTTTACTTATTAACTTGGTATTGCTTTAATTTTTAACTTTTTATTTTATTTTTTTGTTTACTTTTTTTTACTTTGACAGTTTGTAGTATTTAAATCAGCTGTAGTATTGTGATAAATTGCCATACTGACAAACAGATGGCGCTAAATCTGAATCGCACAGGTAGATATCGACTAAATTAGCTTCAAATCTTACGAAATTTTGCTAAATCTAGTAGATTAGCGAGATAATCTACTCAGCAGCCTAAATCTCGTGATCAAGTGTCGGTGGGTACATGGTATTAGCTTATAAGGATAGATAGCAGCATCATTTGTCGTTGATTTCTTCTAATGGTGAGCTGAGAAAAGTGTTGTCTCGAAGAGAATGTAGCATGGGGACATTTCTATTATATTTGTTGCTTTGCGAGATCCCGTTTATACAAAGATCCCGAGAATTTTATAAACGAATGCGGTAGACTCCTCCCGGTAAGGAAACGAAATGCTTTTAAACACATGTATTCAATTACAATAATGCTAGGTAGGTAATATATCTCCAGATGCTTGAAGAAGTTTCGAAATATGTATAGAAATAAGCAAAAGGGAAAGATTTGTTTGAGTATTTGTCCTATAAAGATACCATTATAACCAACTCAATAATTCTTGTTCCACAATTCGAATGTAATACCATATATTCAGTAATATACGAATATAGTAAGTCAAAAATCTTATTTTAATGCTTACTTCGTATATAGTCCTACCATAAAACTGAAATTACTCAAAATATACATTTAAAGACATCAAATAAAACTTAATAAACTTTCTCTAAAGTGCATTTAAAAAAATTGTGTAGAGTTATACAAAATAATAATTTTTAATGATATATTGAACATTTTTAAAGACTACGCGAACCTTTAGTTGCGAAGTCCCCTTAGTGCAACCCTGTGTTATCGAAGCAATGAAATGTCAACATTGACATTCCCACAAATACTTTTCCTTTCCGCTGTACTGTCAAAAACGGAGGTAGGATTATTGCTAATAATTACTAAAAAATCTTTCAAAATCCCAAATAATAGAAATGAAAGTGTGCCAAAATTATGAGAAAAGCAAAAATATATCTATATATTAAATGTTCTAACAACTATTTTTTCTGTTTTCATTTTATATTGGCTGCTGCTGATAATTTTTTCAATCACAAAATGTATGTGCTGTGTAAATCCTTATTTGATGTGGTGCAATGAATGCTATCGGAACAAACATTAACTCTTATATGATTTGGTGCACAGATTAAGTAGCTTAAAATGGCCAAGTCAAAGAATCACACCAATCACAACCAAAACAGGAAGGCGCATCGTAATGGCATCAAGCGCCCAATCCGCAAGCGTCATGAAGCAACTCTGGGTGTAAGATACTCTATATAAGTAAAGTTGGTTCAATTTTCACAATAACATTTCCTTAATAATTTGTAGATGGATGTCAAATTCCTAATCAACCAGCGTTATGCGCGCAAAGGCAATCTGTCCCGCGCTGAGGCCAACAAACGCTACGAAGAACGAGTAGCTGCTCAAGCTGGCAAACCAAAACCCATTAAGCTATAAATATTGCAAAATATCGATGCGTCAGTGGGTTTTAAAATGTGGGTGGCATTAAATTAAATAAAAACACAACTTTATACAAAATATTAGTTGTAACATTTATTGTAAGGCAACATTTAATAGTAAACACTTAATACTTTGTGGAATGGTATGTGCTCTAACTCTTCTGCATGCTTGCGTCGGTAATCCCATAGGAAGTGATCAATTAAAATTGAGTTAACGTGTTCCTTATTGAGCTCAATTTCGTTATTATTGAGTTTGTTTAAAATTATGTCCTTCGCCTGCTCCACAATATATATAGAGACACCACGAATCTCAACTTCTCGTGGATCGCCATTCTCCAAAATCATATCTTTGCTCAATACTTCGAGTAACTCCGGCTTGTATTCCAAGCTGCCGAAATGTATCAACACTTGTGGCACACGATAGTCGGCAAACATAGTAATTTTTTCAAGGTCATTGAATTTACCCAAGCCTTTACCCTCGAAACAGGACCAAATATCTCCGATAAGAATTTGTGCACGCTTGTACAATGAAACGCGCTTTCCTTCGTAATCAGCTTCATCGCGGAAACAAGGAAATTCACTGACCACTAGCTCCAGTAAACGCGCGGCAGAATTATTGGCGGCTCGCAACACATTCTCGAATTTGCCTTGCCACTTCTCCAAAAGTCTTTTGCCGACCTCATGCAGACAAGCGATACGTTGTTCAATCAGTGGCACGGAGGTCTGACCATCATCTGAACGAAAGATTTTACGCAATGTATCAGCATCAATTGTGGAATAGTACGCGGCGTTGGTGATGTCTATGCCCTCCTCCATGGCACGATTTACGGCAGCACATAAAGCAAAGTAGCCAGTGTAACCGTTCACCTTGTATTTCGTGTAATCAGCTGAAAAGAACAAAAAAAAAAACAAATTGGTATATAAGAGCTCCAAATGAAATTCTACAATTCCTTACTTGGCGTCCAGAAGCAGAAATTTAGTGTATCCACCACAAATATCCATTCAATGGCATGAGCAACAGTGGCCCTCGGGTGTACATCATTTTGCGAAAAATTCTTTGGATCAAGTTCTCCAGACTGCAGGCGGGAAATAACCTCCTTTGCCAATTTTTCAATGCCTGCTGGAATCACTGTCAAGTATTTCGCCATTTTTGCGATGTATTCGCCAGACTCACGGGGACTAAGTGCCATGACTGCTGTAAAAACATATAAATATATATATATTTAAAAGTGATCAAAACTATTAAAACATTTTATACCAAGAATTATATGTACCTCAGCCCGCAGTAACTTAAAGAATTCAGCAAGAATGAGATGCTAAAAGCAAAGCGCAACTGGTTTGCTAATAGGCTAAGTAGCGATTTATATTACCGGCTATTACACCAGAGTACTTACATATTGCACTTTTGTTGTTCGGTTTATTTATCCCATCTCGACAATGTATACTTTCAATGAGCAATATACATAAGTTAACAATACAATTAAATCGCGCAAAAATACTGTTATTTGTTTTCTTTTAATACATGCATACAAATGCAAATTTTGCATTTACTTTGAGAATGAAAACAAAACACCGAAGTGTCTATTTATTACATTCGTTATAAACATTTAGGAGGGTTACCGTTTCATGTATAATAGAATTTTTTCAAATAATTTAAGAATTTTAACAGCTGGTAGTAGTCACAATTTTTATTAAATAATAACAATTATTTTAATGTTAACAATCATTACATTATATGCGTAAGCAAAAGGAACGCATCGCGTTATTAAAATATGCCCGATCTATTTTATATTTGTCACGTGCTTTTTTTCTTTTCATTTACAACACTACTAAGACAGCTGTTTCATCTTCTCCGTTTTCGTATTATTCGCCCACTACGGTATCCAATAAAGCAACAACTATTCATGTAATTATTAATAAGCAAAAATATATTCATTTGACATTTTCTTTTTGTAGATTTTGTTGCTTTTATATTTTAAACACCAATCGTCTTGTCTGTGCTGTCATTTATCGCTACCGCTGTTGTTGTCTAATCTGAAAAGAGGAAAAATCCAAAATGTTTGTGCTGTGAAAATCTTTGCAATAAATAATCTTAAGTTATTATATTAAATTAAATTTGTGGAAACGTGCGTTGAAGTGCCTAATGTAATAATAATACAAAGTTCTGGCCGTGAAACAGAAACTTTCCAAGGAAACAAATCGGAAATCACCCTGCTTGTCAAAATTTTCATCTCCACATAATTTTTGGTAAAATTGCTTGGATGGTTTGGTGCAGCGGTTTAGGGTCGCGAAGAAAAATACTTTTATAATAGAAAAATAAATATATATACATACAGATATATTGCAAAAGTCTTTAACAAAACACAAAAGAAAGTTTTTAGCAAATTCAAAATACTTCTATGTCTCAAAATAATTCAGTGCAATTCATGGTTTGTGTAATGTTAAAATATCAAAAAAAGAGTTACGAAAGTGAAAAAATGTACAATTCTATATGGTAAATAGTGGTGTTTGCGTTCAGAATATATAATAAATGCAAAAATAATCTAAATTGGGTTCTGTCAAATGCTCCATAAATTTCGCCTTAGGGTGCGCATGAAGTATTCGTTTCGCATTGTGATCGACGAGACGTGATTTTTTTGTACAAATTGTTGCCGTTGTAGAATTTTAAGATTGATTTACGCAAGCAAACAAACAACCAATTCGTCGCATCAGCACAACGCTGCATCGACCGACATCGACAATAGCCGTGGAAAACGTCATCAGCATCGTTAGTCTCTAATTATCCCTGATTTTTGTTTTGTTTTATTTACTTTTGTTTTGGCAGTCTGCACTGTGGTCCGAGGCAGCCAAGTAAAAATTAGTGTCTATTAGCTGGCAAACAAACTTTTATGACTGGCGCTGTTAAAGGTAAGTGTATCATTGTTTTGTATAACGCGTATGCTAATTCTATTAAGTTATATACCAAAGGGGAACTCTACATTATCATAAAAACACATAAAAGTCTTAACATCGTGTGCAGAAAGCGGAAAATTTTTAACAAAACATAGACATCATATCATTCAATGAAGTGGGCATCCAATGACAACGTCTACAAGCTAATTATATATTTACATTATCTATTTGGTTGTATAACAATATATGTATATATATAGACAGTGGTAGGGATAACAAACGTGCGTTGTTCGTGCGTTGTCAATAATAAAATATGGTGACATTGCAAGTTCTCCAAAGGCGCTAATTGAGTGCTCACAATTTCCACAACCGTCAAAACGCTATCTGGCTATAACTTCAAGCGAGCTTATTTCACTGTTAAATAAAAGTTAAGCTAAGTAAGATGAGCTATATGCTCAGTTTTGCAAATTTGTAGTGAACTTACAAAGTTTTAAGCTCTTTATTTTATTATTATATTATTATATAAATAGCTAAGCTTAGGAAAGTCGTAAAAGTTTTTGAAATATTAAAATTTAGTTTTACTTTATAAGCGGGTAAGTGATAATGTTGCCGATATATGGATATATCCATGTTCTATTCATATTTAGTAGAATAATTGAGTGTATGAAATAGCAATAATTATCAAGCTTGCCGTTTGAAAATCAAATCAAGTGCAGCATTACTCTTGAATATAAGAATCATACGTAGAAAAAAACAATGATGAACTGCGTTCTCTCCACAGTCGGGTCTACGTAACCGGAATGGACCCGGATTTTTATCCAGGCAAGGATTGTCAACTCGGCAGCATTCCTCCCAATTACTTGAGGCATGGCCTCGTCGCTATAACAAGAAAAAACAACAATGAAAAGCTATGTGCTTCTCCATTTAGTTGTCGTAGAAATATAGTTTTTTAATTACGGTATTTTGTGTGTACGCAGGTGCTAAAATTTTGAAAATGAATGATTATGCATAGCAAATTTGTGCTTAAATGTCCATTTAATCTTCGATAATGATTGATTTTTTGCTCTTCGCTACTGATTGACGATTGTATGAGCGTTTCGGGTGATGAATTGTATGGTTATAAACTTGGTGGGCGGTAATAAATCAAAGCTATGCATTGTATCTACTTTTGTTTGTATGTGCATATGAATATAACAAGCGATTAATGGGTGATACTATAGTACTTTTATTTGGTAATCATGCACATTTTACTATAAATCGCACTTATAATTATAAGAAGCCAGTCAGTGATCAGTCATACATATATTTATCAAAAATATAACAGTTCACACTTATCAATTTCCTCGTTTATGTGAAATATGAGTATCTACTTTCGATATTGAACAATTTCTATTGACTTAAAGTGATCGACGTTATGTCCACTCACTTAGCAGTACATATATACGTACATATGGCTTGAGGCCATAAGCTTTTGCACTTGGAAATAATAGTCAGCATAAGGATTGATTGCCCTTCCTCGTGTTACATGTAGTTTTTTTGCGATAAGATTGCCATTAACAAATATCACAATCGCACACTTGAGGTCAGTGTTTGTATGTGTATAACATATGCACATATTTATGTATGTATATTTGTGTGCGTTTTGTGTATAGTAGTAATTTACTTTAATATACGAGGTTTATATGTGAAATATGATTCTTTATGCTGATTGTTAATGTTTGCCATACACTTTCTCATGGAAACTACCGAAGAATAAGTGTCTGAAATAACTTTAAGTGCTATACCTATGATATATTGCGTATAACTTAAATACATGGCCGTAGATAGAATATATAACTTACATATAGCGCCGTAGAGAGAAAACCGTAGCTCGGGGATGATTAAAGTGAATTGTTGGAGAAAAAATCTGTAAACATTTGTTGCAGTAACCCGGTTTCCCTCGAGAACTTAGGGCTTGCTAAGAATTGTACCCGATCAGCCCAAATCTCTCGTTCACTGCTTACATATCTACATAGATTTTTGGCTTTAAAAATTTCTTGCTAATAATAACTAAATATAAATAAAATAATTATTTAGTTTTGCTGAACTTTAAGCTTGATTAACGATAAAAAATTTGCGTAAATTTATTATTTATATAAATAATTTTTTTTTATGTTTGGTGAATGACCCTCCGAAAATTCTCGTCGACACACTCCGCTGTTGAGGCTTTCAGTGCTAATCTCTTGTGTGAATTGAATAAATTCAATTCATGGCAGTCATTTGCCTGAAAAAATATATATAATATACAACAACCAGATAATTGCAATGTAAACATATTTGAAATTAATTTGTTTCTTGGGATGCTCTAATATAATTGCGCTAATTAAAATTATAATTTTTTATGCATATTCAGCACAGCTGTTTGATTGAAGGAATGCGAAATATGAGTTAATAAAAGTAACCAAACTAATTCTACATAAAAAACCCTTATACTAAATATACAACATTTACATCTAAATGTTTTTAAAAATGCACGCCCTTGTTATTGGCTAAATAGCAATGCTAATGTAATGGGTAAATCGCGTTTTTGTTGCTATTGCGTATGTACATATGTACTATGCAATATGTTATATTTCATTACAATAGCAACATTAGACATTTATTACAACAATTAGGACTATTACGTCATCACTTGTTGTGCATTTGTTAATGAAAAGGGCAAATATTTAATGTAATAGTTTGACAAAAAATTCAATATACATAGATAAAAATAAAATGTCAAACTTTTATTGCCAGATGTTTGATTTCATGTGTCAACAGAAATATTATCAATATTGATATATAAATAGCACACCAAATTTAGAATGTTTGTGCAATAAAAAATCAATAACTTTTTAGTCTACAAAAAATTTTATTACTTTTTTAATCTTCAACAAGTTTATTTTTTAGTCATCAACAAAATTAATGTTTTATTTTAGTTTTCAACAAAATTTATTTTTTATTATTATTTAAATAATAATTAAATAAAAAATTTAGCCTTAAACGCGTATTAGAACTCTTTTTGGAATGTCTAATTAATTTCACACACACTAATTTATAAACTTGTCAAAACATGTGCAACTTATTTTGTAAATAAATAGAAAGTATAAAAGTAATTAATTATTTGACATTTGCTATGAACAATTAATTTATCTGAATTTGTATGTACAATACGCTTCTTGCGTAACAATACTTCCTCCGTCACATCAACTTAAATCATAGAGGGCTTTTAATTTAAATTTACAGCTCGTCAATTCATTTTCCAAGCAAGTGCCACGCCGAACAGTGGTGTAGTTTCTTTAACTTATATGCAAAAAAAAATTTATATTATTGAAGGTTAATTATTTAAGTTTTTTTTTTTTTTGTATAGCAATATATTGTTGTTCTAGTAGAAATAAAAGCGAATAAGTCTGTCAAAGATTATATTATTTTCATATATGTTTTTCGGCTGCTTTAAAATATCTTATCTGAACATCTCTATAAACAAGATTTTGTTTTAGAGCTAACTGATAATTTACCATCAAAACACACAGTGCGGTCAACAAACTTGTAAACCTTCTTAAACATTATTCACTAAATACAAATCACATTGATAACGAATTAGAGTAAAAATAGCACCATATAATGTTGGCATTCGAGATATTCTTTTTTTCTTTTTGTATTTTTGTATGTCCATATGTGGTTATGCCATTAAGGGTCACACATATTATGAAATTAAATTATGTCGATAGGTTATATCGTTAAAAATAACATATTTAAATTTTAAATCGACGGACATCATCAATGATTCAATCACTAATAAAATTTTGTCTACATGCTCTGTATATACATAGTTCTCCATACAATGACTTACCAGTTTTTGACCTGATCAAAATTCGAAATTTAGCTGTCCAATACCGACCAAAGTTTTGGATAAAATCAATTTGTTTTTTAAAGCGAAACTTCTCCCAATTCTTGATTTTTTTTCGATCTTAGGTCATTGCACAGACAATATCTTCAAATAGAGAATTTTTTTTTAGCGCCGTCGGGGATCGATTTAAAATTTTTTTATTGGAATTTTATTTTGCGTTTTTAAAATAGGTGTGTAAATATGTATATCTTTAAAATTTTAGAACAATTGATACATTTGATTTTTTTTTAATTTTCAAAAATCGCCTTTTGTTAAGCTGTTATATGTTAGATGTAGCTGTTAATATTACCCATTAATATTTCGATAATGTAGACTCCTCAGCATCGACGTTGCTGTAACGTACGATCATATAAAAAATCGAATTGGAAAAAACTCCCACATCTCTATTGAGTGCATTCTCAAACGACGAATTGCGATCAAATTAAATTTAAAATCAGCAACAAATTGATACTAATTTTGATACAAACACCGCCAAATAAGAAATTGAAATAACAAATATTGAAATGTGCCGGATATATCGGGTAACGGAAAGATACCGTACCAGCAGGTATCAGATGTCTAATTTGGAGTGTCGTTCTTATTTTCATCTTTTGCGATAAATGAGTGCAAATATCATCAATTGTGTTATTTTTTTGTTCAGCACTTCAACATTAGAATGATATTTGCCACAGAGCGCCAACCAAACTCTGACTCTGAGTCTAATTTTGCGCTTTGAGGGACTGACAACGAGACGCTAAGTTTATCTGCGCTGTATTTGAGATATCTCTTAATTTTTTTTTCAAGATCTTATAACCAGGCGCTCGTACGCGCCGCTATAAACTATATGTATGTATATGTAACTGTATGCTGTGTTGAAAGAGTGGGTAAAAAAAATACTAGTTATATTTGTGTTGAGCATTTGCTATCCACGCTTATTTCACTACAAATGTCAAGCGCGTAACAACCGAAACCGGGTGATTGCAACTTTTATTGTGCGACCGAGAGGCGGAAAAAAACAAAAACAGATAAATACACATATATACAGTAAACATTATTAAATTATGGAGGAGCAGTTATCTGTCTTCTCTGTCTCGTATTTCATGGATACGCTTTATCAGTCAACTTCTCCGACAGATTGGAAAGAGGTGAGTGTCGGCAAATCAGAAACTAACGGGTTATAGTGATTGTACTGTGACGAGGGGTAAACAATCAAAATATGTCACAAGATCTAGCTTAATTTTATTGCCAAAAATAAATTGAATCTGTAATATTTAGTGGTGATCAGACGAATTAATCGATATATGATAAATATATTTGAGTTTTCGTGCCTTACTGAAAATTACGTGCATTTAATACAATTTATCAAAGAAAAAATTTATAATAAAATGTATATATAATTTCGCCAAAACTTAAGCACGCTTTGGAACCAAAACTAACGAAAAAAAAGAAAAAACGTTAACTTCGGCTGCACCGAACCTACAATATCCTTCACAGGTGCGTTGCTTATATGATCTATATGTATGACTAAATCTCAAAACCTAACCGGCTAATGATTTTATTGTCCTTTTGCATCCAACGTAAAACATTTTGATAGTTCTTTCTATCCAAGTTGTTTGATATAAACGATCAAGTCGAATTAAGGTTATTTAATAAAAAAAACAGTCAGTTTTATTGCGGCTATATGTTATAGTGGTCCGATCTAAACAATTTGTTCGAAGATTGTACCTTTGAATTGAGAACTTGATTTTGATCGTTCAGTTTGTATGGCAGCCATAGCTTTAGTGTGCAAAATTTCAAAACCATATCTTAAAAAACTGGGGATCCAGTTCGTGTATATACAGACAGACAGAAGAACATGGCTAAATCGTCTCAGCTCGCCACTCTGATCATTTATGTATGTATTTAGTTTATATGGTCTCCGATGTTGGGTGTGTGTGGGTGTTACAAACTTCGTGGCAAACTTAGTATACCCTGCTCAGGGTAGAAAAATATAAAAAATGTAAATAAATTTATCAAAAAATGCAGACCACACAAAAAATAATACTTCGAATACTTATTGTAGATACTCCTTTTTATTTAGTATAGTTCTCAATATAATAAATTATTTTTGTTTGCTTTCAATAATTTCAACTTACATATTTTATGTAGATGCGTGCTAAACTATTTATGTGCGCACCACTGTAGACTTGTTTATATTTAGCTTGCTGCTTTAAATAAAATAGTCATATTCATATGCATATATACTTATTATTTAAAAATAATTAACACATAGTAGAAATGTGTTTTCTATTTAAATATTACGAGACACATTTTGAAGTGAAACATTTTTATTTAACAGTTAACTATTAAAAATTAGTAACCATACCCTAATTACATGGTTAACGGCTTCTGTTGATAAACTAATTTTGTACCTAAATATGTATGAGTTTCTATAGTCTTACAACAATTATTACAACGAATTTTTCGAATGCGTTCTATTTGCATTAAAAACAGCATTCTACGCGCTAAGTGACAAGTGTGACAGTGCAAGAAAAAATAAACGCAAACTTTATTCATCTGCGGCGCTCAATTATCATTATTACTTGTATACACTGGCTAATCAACATTATTTGCCCTCTTTATTGCTTGACAATTAAGTTTTGTACTTTTAAGAGCAAAAAAAAAATGTTTATTTTTTCCACACATCGCTCATTTTTTAAGCGAATGACAGCGTTTACCTGACCACATTGTTGACACTTAACGCAATTAAAGGGCAATTGACAGCGCCTAATGTCAGGTAACTCAAACTAAATTCCACTTTCATGGAAGTTTTTAAATGACAATGGTTAGGTAAATAAGATAATGTAAAAAAAAATGCTAGAAATGCTTATTTTATCATCATGTCCTCTTTCACAATAAGTAAATACTGAAATTTCTCGAACAGTTCATGTTAAATTATTTTTGGCTGCTTTTATTTCTCCTTTAAATTCTTTTAAATGGCAGCTTTTCTCAAAACCTCCAAATAAATTTTGGTTTCGTTGATGAGCTTTTCATTGAATCAAAATTTCCTTTATATTCTTGAACAGCAGAATTTGTAAAAAAAAATAATACTTATTTCTTTCCCAAATACTATATAATAAATTATTCGGTCAATAAATTCCGAACATTGTCTTTACTTGACCACAATATTCTAAGCTATCCATATTTTCTGTGATATAACCACTCAATCTCTAATAAAATTATTTAACTTTTTCTTCATTTAACACCAATTTAACGATTTTGAACGATTTCTGTCACAAAAAAACCGTCTCTTAAATTCAATCGTAAATTTACTTGTATGACAAACTAGGTTAATTCTTATAGTTTCTAAACTACACTTATGTACGGTAAGGTTTGAAACCTTAAAATTTTTTTTTTTATAAAATAATCGATTGATTTAAAAATTTCGATTAATCGATTTCAATGCTACATTTATGGAGGATAAGATTAGAAACATTAATTTAATAAAAAAAATCGATTAAATTGTGTGTAGTTCTTTATTCAGTGTAATCGTACAGTTATTCCAAGTTATCTTTTCAACTATTTTTAGTCTCTAAAGCCTGGCCATTACAAACTCAAGTTATGATCACTCATAAAACTAGCACTGCCTTATTTTGAGCGAAAATCTTAAATTAGATATTTCATTACAAAACGAAAATTCCAATCACTCGGCTAACAGCTTGAAATTAATGACATTTTTTTGTCTTGATATTAAGAATGAAATTAATTGTGTAAAGTTTTGCGTTTAAAAAGTCATAAGGTAGCTGCTTAATTCCTATCGATTATTTTAGAATGCTACACTTAAATAAGTGAAAACTAATAACAAAACCCAAAAATTCGACATCAATGATATACCCTGTATTTCTAAATTGTTTATATTTGACAGTTAGTTACTTGAAAGCATTGTCATTTATTAATTTTAAATGCATATCGATAATTATTTTTACCAAAAACCATCAACTTTCAAATACAATAAAAACTGTTCCGCTTCCAAGTTTAGTCGGGCCAACTGATGCATAATAAATATTAAGTTTGCCACGAAGTTTTTAACACCCAGAAGGAAACATGGAAGCTCCCATAAAATGTATACACAAATGATCAGTATTACATGCTGAGTCGATTTAGCCATGTCCGTCTGTCCACCCGTCTTGTCTGTGTATACTCGAACTAGTGCCTCAGTTTTTTTTTTGAGATATCGTTTTGAAATGTTTACACATTATTGTTTTTATATTAAATGTGAGTAATAGGTGTGATGGCGGAAGGGATGATTAACTCATACTCACACATTTAAATATATATCTACATATATCTGCTTAGAGCATACATATTAACATACCAAAAAGCCTAAAAGTATGCAAACAAAAGTTTGGCGTTGGGCAAATAACTCTTATACCATATATAGAAACAACTACATACACGTGTATATAAAATGTAGCCATATTTGTACATATGCATCTGAGAACTTTGGACAAAACAACTTACTATTTGACTTTAGCAAAGTTTGCTTTAAAAGCAATTAATTTGAATTTTCATAGAATTATTAAATATATATTTTAAATCACTTTTAAGGAAGATGTGTGCTTAAATGACCTATCCACATAGTTAAGCAGTTGAAATTTTATAAGTTGCATATATAACTTGACGAGATAAAATATTAAGTCGAGTTAAGTTGTTTCATCAAATTTCTGCAAAATTTCTGTTTGATGATGAATGATGATGATGTTCAAAAAATTAATCGAAATATAAAGTATTTAATTATCATTATATAAAAGTACTTACATTTGTCTGCATGTTTAACTTAAACTATCAATGAACTCACAATAGCAATAATTCATTTAGATCAAACAATTCGTGTTTTTTACTACATATAGAGCACTTGTGGTGAACTCTTTGACAGATGTTAAATCGTTTAATCAACTTTCACTTAGTTGTTAAAAAAATACTCGGTATTTTTTGTATTTATTACATATTTAATTTTTGTTTCACATTTATCCAAACAACGGTAAAGAAAACAGCTGCAAACATGAAAACGAAATGTGCATTATGAATTTTTAAGGAATATAAAATAATATTATTTTATTTTATTTTTACACTTGTTTTAAACTAACCGCCAGTATATTTTAGTATCACCTTGCTTGCTTCAGCCGCTCAGCTATGAAAGACTGATTTAATTGCAACTAATATATTCAAAGTCTTACTAAAATCGACGTTTTACTATTTCGCCAATTCAATAAACGGTATATAAATATGTATGCACATACCAGTATATTTATATATGTACATATGATGTTTGTGTGCGGATTAGGGCGTTAGCAAATCGTTTGTTAATTAGTAATAATTAAATAGTTCCAATGATATCGGAAAATCGCCATTTTTTTAAATAAATGAAATATTTTCATCTTCATATTCATTCGAATATTTCAAAACTATTGTAATCCTGTTTTAGAACTAATTAAACACTTATTGAACAAATACACATATTTTTACGAATTTGTACTAAAAATCTAGCATAACTATTTTCATTCTACCAACCTTTTGATAAAATAACTTATTTGACTTATTTGACTTAAGAGGTTATATCTACATGTGAATTTAAAAAATGTGTTTTTTTTTGCTTATATAACGAATGTACATATATTTGAGAATATTCTTAAATAGTTTCGAAGATATACACGTATTTGCATGAATTCTTTAACTCCCCAAAATTTAAACGCATTTTCCTCAAAAAGCTGTTAAGCAGAGTTAATGAGGAAATTTTCTACGAAACGTTTAAGCTTAGCTGACCATATTTGTACCGGGAAAATCCGGGACGGTTTTTTTTAGTCATCGATTTTTTCCATATTGTAATTCACTGAAAATCGCGATATATAATAGATGAGAGAGCAACACAATTTTATTCAGTTTATGATTTGTTTTAATTTCTCAACCCGAGACGGCCGGGACACTTAACTCGGAATCCAGACTATTCCGGCCAAATCGGGACGAATGGTCAGCTAAGTTTAAACCGATCTAGTTGAAACTTTCACAGGTGCTGATCACTTTTCAGGTGCTGATCGAAGAAATAAGATTTTTTCAGTTTTCGATTTTTTAAGCCACTCTCAAAAAAAAATACTTTTTTCGAGTAGTCATTCGATCATTACCAGTATCCATCTATTGTAATAAGAACTATTTCTGGCTTTTGGATTTGCGTTAATTTTAAGTGGAAAACCTTGATCACCGCCAGACACCTTTTTTCGGGGGTGCTAATGGAGATCGGCTACGTATTCAAGGGCATCTAAAATTTTTAAAAATGAATCGCTAATAATTAAAGTACATTAAATTCTGTGAGTGTATGTTTTTTTTATATTTATTTGTTAAATAAAATGGCTCGTCAAAACAAAAAAATATAAAAATTGTATTTTTTGTGACTTGCTAGTGGATATAATTCCTTAAGCAGCTTTCCAACTAAATTTCATTAAATGCAATATTTTATCAAAGATTTAGTATTTAAAATCGATTTCCTAGAAGATGGCTACTAAATGTCTGATTTGTTTGACATTTGCATGCAAATAATTCCAATTTACAGCTTAAAAGCGAAAAAAAAGCAAGTCGAGATAAGTTGTTTTGTTAAAAACCCACATATACAATGCGTATATACCATTATATATTGGCTTCGATGATGCCTAATTGTTGAGATATATTTAGCGATCTTAACCACAATAATCTAGATTTTTCTTGTACTTACCAAAAAAGAGTAGCAAAAATTCGGTAGTGTTAATTTTTGACTCAAAACGAGTTAGAAAATTTTCTGCTAAAAACTTTGAAAAATATGAAAAATGTGTTTAAAGGCTTCTTATAATTTGACTACAATGCTTCTCAACAAAGCTGTAGTTTTTATTTATTTGATTTTTTTTCTACTCTAATGTTTTTTTTTTTTAATTTCAACCACCCTAATGCAAAGCCAGCATACATGTTTACATACTTACCATACATAATTATACACATATGGTACGACTACCAACAATTTCACGAATTTGTTTGACTTACGAAACGGGAATAATGTCAAGTTGTGAATGTTATTTTGACTGATTAAAATAAGTGAAACAACAGTGTCTATTTAGGGTCTTATCAACTGTCTATAGCGGCAGAACTACAGACGAGTATGGGAAAAAAATCAAAGCGTAAGCTTGTTCAAGAACTTATTTGATTTCACTTTCATAAAAGTGGGAATTTTTTTTTAACAGAACATAAGCATTGATTTTCTAGTGTAATCTTAAAAAAATGCGATTTTTGAGAATTAAGAAAGAAGTATTGATACATATTTTAAGAAATCACTGTAACATTTTTTAAGCAAAAGTTACTAATTCTCGAGTTACATGCCATCTTCGACGGCGTTAAACATAAAAGTTCCCCCACTGTTTCAGTGATTCCTGGCTTCTAAGAGGATAAAAACCCAAAAACGAAATTCTCAAAATCTCTAAGTAACCAATAAAGCAAATCTAAAAAATGCCGCTTTGAGAAAAACGCGTTTAAAGATAAACTGATAGAGCTAGCGGATTGAACTGTGCGGCTACACTTTAGAAGCCTGCAACTCAAAAAGTATTTTAGATATCGATTTGAAATTTTAGATTATAACTTTTAAAGGTATAACTTATCGAAGTATGAAAATAATCGATTTCACATTAGGTTTGCCTCTTAAGTGCATTTTGTTATGCTAGACATAATTCTCTTCTGTCATTCGATTCATTTGGGAAGCTGAACTTTCTTGACTAAATTATACATCTACAGGTAGAATGTTTTCTCATTTTTTCGATTTAATACGCTGACCGTTTACTTGTAATAACGTCGATTTCCATGAACTGAACAGACAATGTGATACTCGAAACGCTCTTTCTAAGCACTATATATATGAGAGATGAGAGATACAAGTCATTTAATTGCGCACTAGTTTGTCTAGCCGACCCAATTAATATAAATCGATGGTCATTCCTGACATAAATTACTCTTTAGTAGGCGGACAACTCTACTCTCTTCGGTGTAGCAAGTTAAAAATCTAACATAACACTTTGACCTTTACGAACCAGACTACTACTTTGAATCTGAGAAAGTAGCTCACAAATTATACAAATTTGTAACTGTGCTCTACCAAAGCGATTATACGTCACCTCCAGCTCTCTTGGTCTTCCATTCATCGCTTTGTATTGCCTACTGATGGGACATCTGTCCAATTTTCGGCTGCATTTGTTTTTTTCATGATTGTAGTTGTAAACAGTCACCTGTGCATTTAAGCTGATTATCTCGACCGAATGGCGACTGCGTCAAGTCTGCTGATGAGGTGAGCGGCCGCGTGTTTATGCTGAGCTAATATGTATACCATAGATCATCAAAATATGAAATGGTATTCATAATGGAATTGTCTATGCAGGTAGTGCTGATGTATTGTATATAAAGTTGGACCTATGTACAAAATGTGCTCCTCTGTCGAAAAACACCGAAAACATTTTGTTTACCAAAAAAAAAAATTTTTTTACTCAACAAAAAAAAATTTGCTATCCACAAAGTCATTAAGTCGCTATGCGCCTGTGTAAGAGACTCTTATCTCATCGAGCTGTCTATCAGCTTTGACATACAAATTACCTCAGACGTGTGGGTACATATGCCGGGACTACAGTACATTCTATGATAGTACCGTACATTGTCTCATCTCTCGCAGTTTATGACAAACTACGGGCATTTATGCAGTCACTGTCAGCAGCGCACCAGCAGAGTGACGCGCAATTACGAGAGACGCGCGGCGAAGCTATACTAATCAGTGAAGTGAAGAAAGCATATACATAACTAAATTGTTAGAGGTCCGCGATTTCCTCGGCTCAGCGTTAAATGTGGTAAAATCGCAATAGCACGCTGTTGCCTGTGCTGCCTTTGTTTTTGGAACCTAATGATTGGTTTAACGGTAGTTTGAGTTGATACGCGTCATTAGTCAGCTCGCGCGCGCAATCTGCTATTTAGTTGAGTTTAGTCACTCGCCGCACAGACGACTAAATTCGCAAATTCATAGACGCGTACGCGTACTCAACGCCTCACCACCCCCCACCTCACGCTGCTCGGAACCACTCCAGACGCGGCGAACGGCAAACATTCCTTAATATATACATATATGTACAAGTACATATGTTTGTTTGTTTTAATTGTACATTAAATTTGATTTGCTTTCGAACGCAATTGTGTTGACCTTTCCCCCAAATTGTGCGCGCGTGTGTATGTAAATATTTTAGTGAAAAAAATTAAATAAATAAAAATTTTATGAAAAAGTGTGAAATTCGTGAAAAATTCGTTTTTGTTCCCAACCCAACAAATAAGTTTTGTTGTTATTGTAATACAAAATTTCTTTCGCTCAAAAGTTTAAAGTGAAAAAAAGTTATGAAGAAAGCGCTCAGCACCGCCCAAGAGGATGAGGCGTCTGAGCAGGGTGCTGTAGGCGACCAAGCGCGTCGCACGCCGCCGCGTCTCGTGCAAATGGGTCGCGCTTTCTCCGAAATGTCTCCGCTGAATCCCGCCTCCGCTTCGCCCTCCAGTCGCAGCGCGTCGAGCGCGGCTGCTGGCGTCGCTTTGCAAATTCGCCGTGACTCTGGCAACTATGGCAGTATGTTTCCTTTTGGCTTTTTGCGTCTATCCCTACAAAAAACCGGAAGCTCGATACAGGTAAAAAAAAAAACAATATTACCAACAACATATGTATGGTATAATGCCATGAGTGTTTTTTTCTTTTTTTGTTTCTTTTGTTGTTATCGCGTTCCTATTTGTTTGTTCGCCACCAACTTAGACTATCGCTTCAAATATTATACAATAAACACATAAATACATACGCGCATACGTAGTCAAATGTAAATGTCTACATACATACAACTGTATGTATATATACATATAAATACTCACAAATTTATATACAATTTTGCACATAAATAACTCGGTTTGTGCAAATGTGCTGCCGCCGTCTGTAGCGTTGAAGCTGATAATCTCTCGTTTTCATATAAAATTGTTGCAATTACTAACTGATAAGAATCTTTATTTGTATACGTGTATACTGCACATATATACAGTATAGCGTATACCTTTTTCTGCACATAGTTATTGATGCACATTGCTTTTATGTGGTACAAACCCTGTGAGAAATTATAAACCTCCTCTTTAGCTTCAATGATAGTTTGTCTGCTGCTGCTACTCGCTTATTTTTCACCAAATATATACTGTTTTAGTTAGTTATACCGTGTTTAGTTAGTTAGTATTAGTCTTCAGAAACTGATGCAGACGCTTTGAAATATTATATCCGTCTGAGGAATTTCGGTTTTCATATTAGTCAATAAAATTTACTTATTTATGTCATGACTAATAAATCTGTAAATTAAATATAAATTACCTAATGCTTTATTTTTTATAACTGCGTGCAAGCTTTATTCCATGATCGACTCTGCACCACTTGTTTTTTGAAATCAGACACCCAACAAGAAAATTAAAGCCTAAGTGTGAGTTTAGCACACCTTAGTCAAATAGTCAGTGCCTGTAAAGTTATGAGCCATAGAGAAGTTCCTTCAGTTGCTTAAATAGAGAGTAGAGTTAATTCTTGTAAAACAAGACCCAATTTTATAATTATTTTTTTGATGAAACAGTTAAAATCTATTTTTTAAAAACCAATGGTACTTTATAGACATGTTATGTATGATATGTGAAGAATATTATCTTAAATTTTCATGCAGATATATTAAAAAATATGACAATGGCAGCAATTACTCAGGAGCGTCACGGAAAAATGTTAGTACTGCATCATCTGAAATCAAAAATTAAAATTAGACCCCATGGATTTCGAAATAAATATTGCAGAAACCATGTACCTTGCTTTCTAGTACAGAAAAGTGATATCACAATGGAAATAGTGCTAAAGAAATGATATTGGGCGCAAGTTGTTCTGTTTTTTTTTTATTTATTATAGGCGCACAACTCTTGGCTCGTTCATCGCAATAATGCATCATGTCATATTATATTGGTTCTTCTCAGATATGTTTTTTTTCTTTGTCAAAAACTCGGTATTCGCCTGATTTGGCTCCGTGTGACTGCTGCCTATTCAAAAAACACAAAGACCAATGCGGGCACGCCCTTATGACACGATTGAGGAGATAATAACCGAATAGAAGCAGTTCTTGAAGGTTATACCCGAAAAAAATACTATTCTGACTGCTTCAATGACTGGAAAAAGTGCGGTTTATCGGACCACAATTACTTTGAAGGGCATGAAATCGATTTATAAGAATATATAAAGAATTTACATTTTATGAACAAATTCACTTCACTTTTTGATCACAGTAGTATGTTTGTATGGATAATGGGTGCGTTCGAGCTACGTAATAATTGCAGCAGTACAGCTACTGTGTTGCATATTTGCTGATACTCTGCTGATGTGCAGACAAAAATTTAGATTTGCCGATTATTTGCAAAAATTGCGTACAAAAAATGACAGCAGAACGTGACGCTGTTGCAAGTGTTGCCAAAAATCACGCAGAACGTGATACTTTGACAAATTTGCAACACTGCTGTCGTGATTGCCATCTCGAACGCACCCAATATTTCTACATATTTTAAAAACACACTGTAAAAATAGACGGGATCTCCAAAAGTGCTAAAAAAGGTCCTTCAACCTAAAACCTGAAAGTACTCCAGAAGATATTGTCTGTACAATGACCTACGGTCGATAAAAAATCAAAAACTTACAAAATGGTGGTGTTTTTAAAAAAAAAGTAGAGTTTTACAAAAAATCAGAACAAAAAATTGTCGGTCATTGTATGAAGAACTATATGCATAAACAAATTGATAGTGATCGAATTATTTGTCTCCGAGTAATCGCTGCTGAAAATTCGAAAAATGTTGTTTCGATAAAAACGCGTTTAAAGTTGAACTCATAGAGATGAACACTTTAGAAGCCTGTAATTCAATTTTTTTTATTTAAAATATTTATTCAAAATTTTAGCATAGGATTCCTAAAGATATAGACTATTAAAATATGCAAAAATTAAAAATTTATTTCAAAATTTCATAATATTTGTGTTCTTAAATCTATAAATTTTATAACTCATTCTGACTTTCTTAGAGGGATAGATGTCAAAAACATATGTTCTTGATGTTTATTACAGAACATAAACTTTAACAATCTGCCATAAACAATTAAAAAAAGTTAAAAATCTATGCCGTTCTGTGCCACAATTTGGAAATTATTGCTAAACAGTAACTGCTAACTGGTTAAAATTTTCCGCAAGGTATTCACAAACTTTATCAAAATGGCGCGTTTAGCGCTAAATGAGCTCAAAAGGGTTGCACTCTTACCAACCTTATTCACACACTTATAAGCACATATCTTTATGCAGAGCATATTAACGCCATTAGATAAATATTTTGTAATCAAAACTGGCATTTATTAGATAATCCCAAGCAAAATAAACAAATATGGCATTGTGCTCCTACAACAATAACACATAATAACAAAAGTAATTGCATTTCTTCGTGTGTAATCTTTCTAAAAGAGCGCTGAAGCTAAGCTCATTAAATAAAAAACAGAATAACGGGGTATGCAAAAGCTGAATATTAATTATAGTTGAAAGCCTATGCATTAAGTGAGTCGCATTTTTCACACTTATGTAATCTATATACCTATATAAATACTCATATAATTTAATTAGTTTGGAAAGCGTTGCAAATTTACGCTAACTTCTAATGAATTGGTAGCACTAACGTTAAGATGTAGATGGCCTTAAGGGGTTCTACCCACTTGCATGTCAAAGAAAATTCAATTTTTTGAGGAGGTATTTTATTTAATTAATAAATATGGATAAATAAATAAAATAATATACGAATATACAAATTTAATGTACTTTAATAATCGGTAATAGGTACATTTTGAAAAATTTTGGCATCTGTTGATCCCGTAGCCTATCTCTAGAAGCACCTCCGAAAAAAGCTGTCTGGCGGTAACGAAGATTTTCCTGCTTTAAATTATCCCAAATCCAAATCCCAAACAAATTATTTTTGCAATAGAGGAATACTAGTAATGTTCGAAGGACTAGTCAAAATTTCTAATTTTGACAACTGTCATGGTTTATAGAAAAAAAAAGTTTTTTTATACTCTCGCAACCTGTTGCTACAGAGTATAATAGTTTTGTTTACCTAACGGTTGTTTGTATCAGCTAAAACTAATCGAGTTAGATATAGGGTTATATATATATAAATGATCAGGATGAAGAGACGAGTTGAAATCCGGGTGACTGTCTGTCCGTCCGTCCGTCTGTCCGTCCGTCCGTCCGTGCAAGCTCTAACTTGAGTAAAAATTGAGATATCTTTATGAAACTTGGTAGACATGTTTCTTGGTACCGTGAGACGGTTGGTTTTGCAGATGGGCGTAATCGGACCACTGCCACGCCCACAAAACGCCATTATTAAAAAACAAATAAATAGCCAGAACTAAGCTCCACAACAAGATACAAGACTCTTATTTGGTATACAGGATCACAATAGGGAGGGGAATTTTTTTTTTAAAGTGGGCGTGGTGCCGCCCCTAATACGTTTAATGTGCATATCTCCTAAACCGCTAATGCTATAATAACAAAATTCACTGAAAGCAAATGTTTTTAGAACCTCTACCTACAGTGTGAAAATGGGTGAAATCGGGTGGCAACTCCGCCCACACCCCATATAACGGTACTGTTAAAAACTACTAAAAGCGCGATAGATTTAGCACTAAACACGCCAGAGACATTAAATTTTATCTCTGGGATGGTATGAGATGACTTTATAGGAACCACGTTTAAAATTAGATAGTGGGCACGGCACCGCCCACTTTTAGGTGAAAACCCATATCTTGGTATCTGCTTAACCGGTTTTAACCAAATTTGGTACATGACATTCTTTTCATATCTCTATGTTATAGTGCGAAAATGGGCGAAATCGGATTACAACCACGCCTACTTCCCATATAACACCATTTTAAATTCCATCTGATTCCTTCCTTACTTGTTATATATTATATTTCTATTTACACTGCAGAGTGACTTAGCAAATCGAAATCATTATAAAAAATCAAATCAAAAAATTGCATATCGGTCGGTTTAGTCGTTTCGGAGAAATCCATCGACTCGGTAAACAGCGTTTCGAAGCGTGTAAAGTTTTGGGAGCCGATTTCACTAAGTTAAAACAATCCTACAAATATGCTCCTATCTTCGAAACTATTTGCTGAATTAACTTAAAATTTGCGGCGAGTATTTTTAAATATATGTACTAAGCAAAAAAAATCAATTTTTGAATTTCACAAAACATAAAACATTCGTATATTTCTTCATTACAATAATTACTAAAATCTTACTTCTACGTTAAGATCGAAATATATCTTTTTATCATAAAATTTGAGTAATATTTACTTTTTTGCCTCGCTTAATGCTTTAGCTAGATCTAATTACTAATTTCACAGTTAAGGTCTTACAGATTATATTTAGAAAAAAAATGTTTAAAGCTCAAAAGTATCAAACTCAATATATGATGTGTAGCTTCACGGTATTTTCCACCAGTTAGATATGTGTAAGAGTGTTAGGAATTAATCGATCACTTTTGTATTCGACAATTATCAATTTTTGTGTACAAGTATATTCTTTTTGGATAAATTTTCA